TATGATGTCATCACAGAGGTGTTTTCTTCGCCATGGGTGGGATCCAAGTGTCTAACCTTCAACGCTTCCTTCAGATGCAGAGGGTCTGGTTGGCATGTAAGGGGGGAGTTCTCTGCGGTGATGACATTGATAACTTCTCCTCGGCATATGTAAGGGTGTAGCTGTACAGGGTGACAGGGCTGAGGTGAAATGGCATTGTCACTGTACAGAGGATGGCCCGTAGTCTGGAAGGATCAGCTGATTTTTACCTTTTATAAATGAAGGTGGCATTTTTTTAAAATTACCAATTCAACTTTATTTTACATTTTTCACAATTTTTGTTGTCAAAATAATGCACCAGAGCAGCCTAGTGTAGGTCAACAAACAATCCGTAATGACAGCATGGTTAAGGCACAATGAACAGAACAATGGCATAGAAGACACACGTTCGCGAAATCCACCGAGCATAAGCACGAAATAACACCAAAATCTTCAAACAGATAAAGGTACATATCAGAGTGCATCCCGAGAGAGAGCGTGAGCATGGTAGATGACTGGGAACCTAATGCAACTTTAACATGTTAGTTTTTAAGGTCTTAAGCCCCCGTGGAAGAAAAGTTTTGGTCCTAAAATATAGTTCCATAGTATGCAGGGCTTCTAAAGGCCAGTTTATCTCATGGGAGAAGCGTAGGGTTGCCGTCTGGTCTGTAAATATGGGACTTGTAGCCAGCTCTAGAGCGATGATAGTCCTCTAATTCCTCCATATATTGGCAGCGCAGACTTGGCAGGTTGAAAAAAAGACACAAAGTCCATCAAGTTCAACCAAAAGGTAATTAATATCCTTTCTTACATTCTGCTGGTTTAGAAACGTCTTCCATTTTTTTCTATTAACATTTAAAGTATTACTAAAGGCAAAACATTTCTTTTTTTTTTTTTTCTTGATTTGGATAAAGTGGTGTGGGGTTAGAACCCCTATTGGGCTTTTACTGCTGCCTGTGTCCCCATCAGGGAGATTTAGCCTCTCGAATTGTCCTGATCACCTATATCACCGGGACATAAGGGAAAGCCCCCAAATTTTGAGTTGTCACCAAAACTGTTCCCGTGACAACAGTCTAAGGGGGGATATCCCTCACATTAGAAACATATTCTCTCACTTCCTGTTGTGTGTACAAGACGGGAAATAAAGGGAAATCTCCCTAATGAGACACAGATGGCAAACAAATTGCAATTTTATTCTTCTTACCAAACAGGGGAAAAAGTATTGATTTGTTTTTTATGCTTTAAAGAAAACGGCGTTTGTTGCTGCTCCTTAGCAGAGTTGTTATATTCTAGTGTGGAAGTATGAGAGGACGAATCTAGTAGTATTGGAGAATAGGAGCAGTTCTTTATAAGGCCCTCTGTTCTCAGTCTCTCCCAGTCAGTGCAGAGGATTCAATAAGTACATGCCGGCTTATTCCTGGCTATGACACCACAGACTGAGACAATGTTTTAATATTTAAGCTGCTGTGCTTTTCCTTCCGGGGTCAGGCAGTGTACAGGGTGCGAACCGAACCTTTGATGTGTAGTGTTAGAAGGAGGCGGCTGGGCCTAGCATTCATTTTGGCATGTGTGATATTCATATTTAAGCCTGTGAAGAACACTGCACTTCATTAAATATCACTTCTCACAGACTGAGACCTTTCTGTTTATAGGAATAAATGAATTGACAGGTCAAGTTGCCTGAAAAACAGCATGTGGCTGAAAATGCATTGCAGTTACAAAAAGAGATTGGCTAACGTGGCCAGGCTCGTCACTAGTTATAATATTGCTTGCATAGTGTGTTTTTTGGTTTACCCAATCTATATAATGTGAAGGCTGCAGTAAGCGGTCCATTCAATCTGCATCCAATTCAGCAGTCTTTGCCATTCATAGGTTTTCTCGTCATCTCATGAATCATAATATTAAGAAAGTGACCTTTAAAGCATTAGTTTGTATTGCTTTAGAAAAAATGTGACCTGTCCCTTTAAGAAAAAGTATCGGTAATTGGTATCTGCGAGTACTTGATCAAAAGTATCGGTACTCGTACTCGGTCATAAAAAAGTGGTATCGGTGCATCCCTAATATATTTATGTATATATGTCAAATTTTTTCTAAAGCAATACAAACTAATGCTTTAAGGTCACTTTCTTAATATTATGATTCATGAGATGACGAGGGAGCATGACGCCGGCTTCCCGGCCAATCAGAATGCCGGGCGCTGCGTCATTACACGGTGCCCGGCTCGAGATTTGTTAGCTTCCTGACCAATCGGGAAGCCGTGCAGCGCGTCATTGCACGCTACCCGGCTTCCTGATTGGCCGGGAAGTCGGCTCCATGCTCTCTCATCACAGGTGACAAGAGAGCATGGAGCCATTTCCTGGCCAATCAGGAAAATGGGCAGCGTGTAATGATGCGCTGCCCGGTTTCCTGAGACAGGAAGTACTCGTGAGGGGTATCTGAGTATTTGGGCGAGTACTCAGGTATTCCTAGAAATCTATCCAGTTAGGTAGGTCCTTGCACCACACAATTATAGGCACATTTTAATGAGATGTACAGTCAAACTGTAATGTATGTGACCAGGTTGATGTTCTAGGCAGGGACAATAAGATTTTGGTAATATGATTGATGTTCAAACTGTATTTTCAAAGAGAAAATTGATTCTGTGCACAAATAATGAACTTAAATATTGCAAAATGGAAACTGAACAAATTCTACATGTTTGAGATTCTGCCAGCTTTGCATGACTGTACTGTAAAGCAGTGTTAGTCGCCTCACTTTATATAAGGAGGCTCAGGTGTGGCCCCTGACATCATCAAAGGGCCAGCAATAATATTTTGTGAGTTTGATTTCATGGAAAGCTGCCAGAGACAGCAGACATGCTAGGAGTTAGCTGGAGACTGGAGATAGGCTTAATTCTTCAAAATCGTGCAATTTTGCACATGTTCAAGCTCGCTGCTGGTTAAATGGGGGCATATAGGGACTGACAAGGATACAAGTAGCTAGAGGGAATTGTGTATTTAGGATTATTAAACCTTTGGCTAAGAGTTGTAGTTGGTGGTTTGATTGTTTACCATTTGGCTGAATGATGAATTGGATGTGGTACTTTTGTGTTTGTCTGCAATAGAAAGAATGCTGGGAAATAAAGGTTTAAATATGGTTTGCTTTGGGGCAAAACGGTCTCTTTTCGGATAGGTAAACCAGCTGTTACTGAGAGGATTGCTGCCAGTTACCCAATCTATACTTTAAAGCATAGGTTCACTTTCTCCATTAAAGCCATTCCCCACCCTCCAGGCCCTCCCACACTGTTTCTCTTGCAAATGTAAGATTCCTACCTCACCAGCTTTTTGCAGGGCCGTACAGTGATCACAGGCCATGGTCCTTGACTTTTACAGTGATATACACTGTGCCCTGAACCTTGATCTTCATAATCATATGTGCAATGCATGGAAAGCAATCACCCTTCTAGACACAAGCTTGAATTTACAGTACAGAAAGCCAGAGCTGCGGCAGGTGAGCAGTGTTTGGCCTTGTGTTCACCAAGCATGGGTATTCTATATATACAAGTGGTGTGATAGATGGTCTTAATGAGAAAAGTAACGAGTCCACTATGCTTGCTCCCCCCTTTTGGTTACCATGTTTTTGGCATATTATATTGCAGATGACATAGATATTTGGATGTTTTAGAAATGTTTTTTCTTCCGTCTCTTCCAGCTGTTGAAGAATCGGAGAGTGACATATACATGCGCTTCATGAAATCGCACAAGTGTTATGACATTGTGCCCACCAGCTCCAAGCTTGTCGTGTTTGACACTACGTTACAGGTGAGATCTTCCCAGTCATACTAAGATTTTTTAATAATGGTACCATTATGGCAGAGACGGAAAACGTTTTCAGAAGTCAGACGTGTAAGAAGAATTCTGGGTAAAGCAGAAAATTCCTTAAGAGAACTAGAGCCAAACCTTTTTTTTTTGGCTTTAGTTCTCTTTCGGGTCACAGAACTACATTCAGTAATAGTGACGCGTATAGTGGACTAATGCCTGCTATATGCTGACAGTGTAAAACCGCACTGCAGCCAGGAGGGATCCTGACAGTTTTGTTGGGATCCACCTGGCTGCCTGATTGACAGCTGATTCTGCCTCTCTACAGGCAGAGCCAGCTGTGACCCGCCCCCCTCCTCTCTGTCCATCCAGTGAGTGCTGGAGAAACAGAGAGGGGTCACTGCTCTCTGGAGGCAGGAGACTGTGAGATGAGCAATCAGTGGTCACACGATCGCCCAGCTCTCGATCTGCTGACTCTAAAGCTGGCCATACACCTTACAATTTATCTGCAGATTTTCTGTGGTCAGATGGAAAAGCGGCAACAGATTCCTCCATCTACACTTAACTGTGTGGGTGGAGTAATCTGCCCCTGGGCCAATCTGTTGCACTTTTTCCATCTGACCACAGAAAATCTGCAGATAAATTGTAAGGTGTGTGGGCACCTTAAGTTTTGGGAAAAGTACATTTTTCTCCTTTTTTAATATATATGAAACAAAAATTTCCCTGTGTCTGATTTTTGGTTTTATACTTACTGTTCTGTATTTGCTCCTATTATGTTTTCGCCACTCTGCCCTTTAACTACCCATGCAGTGAGGTGGCCATCCGCACTGCATGGGTTAAATGCTCGTTTGGCTACGGGGAATAGGAATAAGGTAAAATACCTAACTTTATTTCTTGCTCCCGCATGCTTCCTCTCCATACAGCCAGTCCAGCATGTCGTAGCTCTCTGACGTTATCACCTACAATGCAGGACTAGAAGTCCATCCTGCAGAATTATACAGGTGTACGGCGAGAGCCCACACATCCTGGGTGCTTTGGACAGAGGAGGAGCAATGAATAAAAGGTTTTTAGACAAACAAGCATATAACCAGTGCAGTGTTGAGGGACCCCAGTACATGAGTAAATTTTAACAGCAGCCCAGAGTTGGGCTTCAAGTGAAAATCAGGTTATTGTGCCACATCTCTATCTTTCATAGACTCAACTTAGTGCATGGTTGACAATGCAGCATGGTATAAAAGCCGAGAATGGCTGCGCCTAATGGCTGAGACTGAAAGGTAAACTTGCACTGGAGTCAGAGGTTGGCTTTTGCTGTGTCCTGTTGGGGAGACACCACAGGAAGTGAGAGTCCTTCCCCACTTAGCCGAACATATACCTCCATTGGATGATTTCTTCTCTATTCCTGATCTGGTGGAAACTGTAAACGTTTGGATTCACTGTGATTGTATGTCCTGATGACAATGGTCACCAGTGCAAATAAAAGAGGTGCATCTCCCTATTTGGGGTAACAAATAGCACTGAGAAGAGTCTATGGAGGAGCGTGAAATCACCCTGGTGAAGCATCTCCAATGCACGAGGGTCACAGGGGGGACTTTGGACTGGATTCATGGAAATCAATAAATGGAGATTAAGATGTAAGCCAATGCATTTCCAGGGGCTTCAGACTTTACCCTTTTATCAGGGCTTAATTGATAGATGGAGGAAGGAAATTTGGACTCATGGGAGAATAATTATATTATATTGTGCTTGGAATCGAAGTAATTTATATGGTATTAGCAGCTGGTTGTGGGCTGCAACAACCAGATGCTGATATTTTATTCCTTACATGTTGGCTTACAGTACATCTTACATACTTGTGGACGCTCTTTTAACCGGTGTGGCGCTCCATTCCTTTATTGCTAATGTGGAGCATTGACAACCTGACAGGGGTTGTAACCCTCAGAACTTTCATTTCCCATCAAACAGAAATTGGCTATGTCTTCAGAGAAGGATGACTGAAGTACTACTGTGTGGGCCATGCATGGCGGAGAATGCCATGAGAAGTATAACATGACTCCTGTAGGACAGCGCTGTATGACTTGCTGTATAATTTTACTTGCACTTAGGGAACAATTTCTAGTGTCCGGTAGAATTATGTTGACTTGCAGTCATTCTTGTATTCTTTTATCATGCCGTTATTTTGATCTGATACACATCAAACACTTGTTCCTGTGCCCTTCCTCTTATTCTGGAACAGCAGCAAGGAGCGGAATTCCCTCTGCTGGGCTGTATAATGCTACAAATTCTCTAATGACGTTCGAGCTTCTGACTGCTTCTTGGTTATTTATGTGTGCTTATGGGTGAAAGTTTATATTATGTCTTGTGCTGAAAATGCGTGGGGTCCCTTTGTTTTGTCTCCAGCTATATTACATTTGTGGATAGTATTGTTAAATGATATCTGGTATTGTGGTGGTGACACAATATTTATAGTTTGTATAGAGGCAGTGGATGACGGATAATAACTTTTACAAAGGCTGAAATCCTGTTTTGGTACATGCAAAATTACACCCATCTGTATAATCTGAGTGAGGTACAGCAGCCGCTCCAGTTTAACGATACACATAGAAATGTCCCCATATGTGTATCATTTAAAGGGAACCTCCAATAAGGTTGCTGCCTCCCAAATCTGAGACTTCCATCAACTGCTAGCAGTTATTCATTCCAAGCTGTGCAGCTTAAGCCCACCGGCCATTGCATGGCTTCTCTCGCACGCCTTCTGGACGTGGCTCCTCCTCTGACATGTATGGCCTTCAGTCAGTGCTTAATCACAGGGAAGAGTGCTAGAGGATGTTAATGTCCCATTCCTGGAATAAGTGCTAGCTCCTATAACTGTATAAGATACTGTACACCTTTAAGGTGGTTACTTGTAATTTAATTTCCACAGTGTTTTGTGAGCCCCAAAATCCAAGACCCCTATTGTTACCAGAACATGCATTGTTGTCCTCTGCTTCCCCCTTATTGGCTGCTAATTGCGATGGGCAACCATACTGGCCAGTAGGAAGGGGGTATGCAGGCCAGAGCTTTGCCATACAAGTACAAGGGACATATTTCTAAACAATTCACAGGGCTATTCATCCTGCAAAATTGTATGTACATTTGGTCTGTGCAAATGGAGGCAAAAACCAATGTTAGTATATATTTTTTTCCAGGTCTAATGTAATATCAGCTAAATAATACATTATGGCCACTAGATGGGGCTAAAGAGCATAAAAAATATATATCTATTTTCTATGCTTCTCAGCTCCATCTAGTGGCCATAGTGCAGCATTTTCTTAATATTACATTCAATCTGGAAAAAAGATATACTAACACCATTTGCTTTAACCCCTTTCGCACAGAACAAATGTACATGCAAATTCCCAGGAAGAATGGCTCTATGAATTGTTTAAAAATATACCTCCATGTGTTTGGTGATTTTTTTAAACTTTTTTTCTTGTTTTAAAATGTTGCACTGTTGTGGTTTTTTTTTCTTGGTTTTTGTTTAACATGATCTTGAAAGAAATGTCTGTACAGCATTCCTCAACCTTTCTTCAGTCACGACACCCTTTTAAATGTATACACAATATTGAGGCACCCCAGTCTAAAATGTAAACACTATAAATGTAAAAAATGGCATATGGTCCTTCCAAAATCCATACCAGACCCTAATCCTAGATCTGGTTCTGATTTGATTTTTGTATGGGGGAATCCCAAGAAAAAGCACAAAAAAGTGTGGGTGCCCTTTTCAACTTAGAATCCTCCCTTCACATTGCAGTCCCCTTTCATTTCAGAATCCCCCCTTTCACATCAGAGTACCCCTTTACATCAAGAGCCCCTGTTCACTTCAGAAGCCCCTTCCATTCACATGAGTCACTGCCTCTCACACTAGGGGTTCTCTTCACATCATTAAGCCCCCCACACCCCCTTCACATCAGAAGCATGACACTGTGTACAAATTTTGAGGCACCCCTGAAGAAGCCAGAAGGCACCCCAGGGTGCCATGGCACACTGGCTGACATAGCGGTTAGAACTTCTGCCTTGCAGCATTGAGGGTTCCCGGTCAGGACACAATCTGCAAGGAGTTTGCATGTTCTCCCTCTCTGCTTGCCTGGGTTTCCTCCGGGTACTCCGGTTCTCTCACACATTCCAAAGACTTGCTGGAAGGTTAGATGGCTCCTGTCTAAATTAGCCCTGTGTGTATGTGAGATGAGGAACCTTGGATTGTAAGCTCCTTGAGAGCAGGGACTGATGTGCAGCTATGTAAAGCGCGGTGTAAATTGTCAGCACTATATAAATACCTGCAATAAATAAAAGGCTGGTCTGTCATCACAAGGACCCTGCGTTCTTCAGTCAGGGCTTGAAAAATGTGATGGTGTCTCACCAGTCAGTCCAAAAATTTCACCGGTCAGCATGACCGGACTATAGCCTTGCAATTTATGTTAACATTTTTTTGGGACAGATGGAGCTTTTTTTTGGAGGTATATAATCACCACAGGGGGTGGGGGGTTATTTTTTACTGTATAATGAAAAAAGTTCTGTATAGTTCGGGGGAAAAAAGTTTTCTGTACGTTATGTTAAACATTTATTCTTACCCATATTTTTGGTAAAATATAAAAGACGGGGTCACGTCGGGTAAATAGACACCAAACATGTCAAACCTTAAAATTGGGCGTGCCCGTGAAATCGCAAAAGACGACCACACCGAAAATTGGACACAGGCGAGGCTTTAAATGCTTTTACCACTCATCACTTTAGTGTTATCAGTGATTAATGGCCCAAATATTATTGCTCATGCTTACATATCGCGCGGTGATATGTAACATGTGCGGCACAATTGTCTTCGCACGTAGGCGCATTAACTTTATTGCTATCACATGGGGGGATAACAAGCCCCCTATGTGATAGCCAATTTGCAGTGACAGGTCCACTTTATGGACCTCCAAGACCCCTTATGTCACCTAGGGACCCTCAGAGAGAAGCTGGTGAAGCAGATCTTTGAAGCTGGAGAGTGACACTGAATGCAGGAAGTGATGTAACATAGATCACTTCCTGCATTCGGGGGCAGAGGAGATCAGAGGGAGATTGTGTACCGATTTTCTCTTTTGATCTCCTGTCACAGAGCAGCCGTGCCGGTCCCAGGCACAGCGGATATCGGGACCAGCAACGGCAGTGACAGCAACTCCTATACAAGCGGCCAATCGCTTAAATGTAAAGCTGGTCGTCTGGCTCCACCGTCCTATCGTCACGGATGAGCGGATTTTTCAAGCCCTGTTGTTTAAAGTGATTGGTGATCTTTGTAGAAACATAGTACAATTTAGCTACAAGAAGCTGCGGCCATGTGCTAATTGTAATAAAAATAAGTCAAGCCTTGACATGTGAAATGTAGAAAAGTACTAGCGGTGTTATGGTATTTATCATCACATCAGCATAGGACTGTTGTGTTGTGTTAGGCCTTGTTCACACCAAGCGCGTTCCAGGAGCAGAGCAGATCTGTTACAGACCAGATCAAAACTGCGTCCAATGACTGTACTGCTTCTAGCTGGCTACAGCATGATTCTTGTAGTGTGCTAGCATGGCACAGAATTAAAGCAAAACAGTGGGACTTTATAGAGCGAGTTCATATTTGTATGTTTTGTACACAGTTTGCAGTGAAATACTTTGCGTGTTTTGAAATATTTTTCATGACATTTCTTCACATAAATAGTCTTTTTCTGAATTAGGCATACACATACAGTAAAAATAAAGTAAAATATTTTTCATGAGAAAAACAAGAATTCTAAAGTAATAGTAACTTTATAGAGCGAGCTCATATTTGCAACTGTGTTTTGTACACAGTTTGCAGTGAAATACTTTGCGTTTGTAAAAAAGTTTACATGACATTTATCCACATAAATAGTCTTTTTCTGAATTAGTCATACACACATATACAGTAATAAAAAAAAAAGTAAAATATTTTTCATCAGAAAAACATAGTAAAAGTATGAAGAAAGTGAATTTAATTATAATTTGACAAAAATTCCCCCATGTGCGTGTTCATCATTGGTACAAATGAATGCATCGTCATCTGAAATGGCTACCTACTAATAAATTTGAATGTGCACTTGTGTTTTACACTTGGTGTATTACATTAACATTCATGAGCAGCCAGTAGCAATAACTCATGTTGGCAGTGCACACAGATCGTTTACAGGGCCGGGTGCATGCATATTTCAGATTTTATGCACACGTTTAGATATGCTGATGAATACCTGATTCACAGAGCTTTCTAAACTCGTATCTTAACATCTGATCGCTGTCTGATGTCTCGGGTTAGCTTTGTCTGAAATTAATGATATTGAACAGAATAGAATACTGCTCAGCAGCTCGGTTCTGAGATTGCTTGGCTAAATTCACAGATGAAATATATATCTATATATATATCTATATATAGATATATATATATATATATATATATAATTTACTGTTTCATTTGCCAAATAATTTTGTAATTATTTACAGCCACTCATGATTTACACACATTTTCCACACTTCACAGCCAGACAGGTAGACATAAACAACACGACAAAGGCTGCTCTCACTGGGCAGGTGACCTCAAATTCAAACAGTCCCTCAAAGGAAGGTAATCAAACAGTCACTGGTTTATGTAGGATAAAGTAAGGGCTTGTTCACACCAAGTGCGGATCAGTTACAGAACACATAAAAAATGCATCCAATGTATTGCAATGGTATTTTGGGCTCTGGTTCACACCACGGCATTCAGTTCCGGAGCATGTGGAAAAGCTGCAGCATGCCCTATTTTTTTTTCTGCTCTAACGCACCAAAACACATGCAAACGGCCTGGAACGTGTCAAACGCAGAAAAATGCACTGCATATGCAGAAACTCGTGCAGATCTGCACCAGGTTTTTTGTGGAAAAGCCCTCCGAATGTCAATAGTAGCCAGCATATGAGGATATATGGAACAGACTGCAACTTAGCTATAGGTGTGCTCCAGTCATAACCACCCTAAAAATGGAACAGACTGCAACTAAGATATACAGTAGGTGTACTCTAATCACAACCACAATAAAAAAGAAGTGGCCAGTACAGATGGAACAATTGCTCCAGTGCAAAAAGCATCATAGGTAATGTGTAGTTTCTAAGTAAGCATTTCAGCTTCCTATGTCACCTTTCCTCCACTAGCCTCCTCAATGGACAGTAAATCTGCATTGTCAGCTCTGTTCAGTAATCGGGAAACTAGCTCAAATAGTAGCAGAGTGACCATGTTGACAAGCAGAGAAGTGTATATCACAACCATACCTGGCCAAAATGTTTAGATAGGTAAAACATGCACAGATCAACCATAACATTATGACCACTGAGAGGTTTAATGAATAACATTGATTATCTTGTTGCAGTGGCACCTGGAAGTGGGTGGGATTTATTAGACAGTAGTGAACATTTTGTCCATGAAGTTGATGAGTTAGAAGCAGAAAAAATGGGCAAGCATAAGGTTTGAGCAACTTTGACAAATTGTGAGGGCTAGACGACAGGGTCAGAACAACTCCAAAACTGCGGCTCCTGTGGTATGTTCCCGGTCTGTAGTGGTCAGGACCAAAAGGAAGAACCAGTGAACCGGCAACAAGGTCATGGGTGGCCAAGGTTCATTGCTGCAAGTGGGGAGTGAAGGCTGGGTTGTGTAGTCCAATCCAATAGAAGAGCTACTGTAGCTCAAATTGCTGAAAAATGAATGCTGATTCAGATAGAAAGGTGTCTGGACAGACACTGTGCATCGCATTTTATTGCATAGCTTAGCCGCAGACCAGTCAGGGTGCCCATGCTGACCCATGTCCCCTGCCAAAAGCGCCTACAACGTAGGCATTTCAGCATCCGAGCTGGACCATGGAGTAATGGAAGAAAGTGGCCTGGTCTGATAAAGCAGCAGTCACCAACTTGCACAACTAGATCAATTGGTTGTGGACTGTATATTATTAGTTTTAAAGGAGCTCCTGTTCTTCTGATGGTTAATCCAGAGAAGATGTATGCACTGATCCTGCAGCCCGGTTAGTTGGATAGGGAAACATCCATGCATCTAAGTGCAGGATAAAATGAACTGTTTATTAAAGGTAAAAAGTAATGCACTTAAAGGATATGGAAAAAAAAAATCTCACCGGTCACGCATCAGATGGAAGTTCGATCTCAGCTGCTGGTCTAAGATTGTTATGAGAATGGAAGGCACATGAAGAGAGCAGAATCCAGTCCGGTTCAGAAACCATCCAGATCACCTGTACTGTGAGACAGAAATCTGATCCAGTGGCTGCGCAGTGCTGTAGCTGGTTCTCCTCCACGTGTGACCACAGTTGCTAGGTACTTCCGTGTCGTGAAGTGTCAACACAACAACAAGTTTGAAGTGTTGACTTGGCCTCCAAATTCTCCAGATACAATCCTCCAGAGATTTTGGTCCATATTGACATGATGGCATCACGAGCCCAAAGTGTGCCAAGAAAATATCCCCCACACCATTACACCACCACCGCCAGCCTCCATCCATGCTTTCATGTTGTTTACACCAAATTCTGACACTACCATCTGGATGTCGCAGCTGAATTCGAGACTCATCAGACCAGGCTACGTTTTTCCAATCTTCTATTTTACCATTTTGGTGAGCCTGTGCGAATTGTAGCCTTGGTTTCCTGTTCTTAGCCGACAGGAGTGCCACCCGGTGTGGTCTTCTGCTGTAGCTCATCTGATTTAAAGTTCAGAGATGGTATTCTGCATACCTCGGTTGTAATGAGTGGTTATTTGAGTTACCGTTGCCTTTCTATAATCTCAAACCAGTCTGCCCATTCTCCTCTGACGACATCAAGGCATTTTCGTCCACACAATTGCCGCTCACTGGATATTTTCTCTTTTTCAGACCATTCTCTATAAACCCGAGAGATGGTTGTGCATGAAAATCCCAGTAGGTCAAGTTTTTGAAATACTCAGATCAGCCCGTCTGGCGCCAACAGCCTTGCCATGTTCAAAGTCACTTAAATCCCCATTCTGATGCTCAGTTTGAACTTCAGCAAGTCATCTTCACCACGTCTTGATGCCTAATTGCATTGAGTTGCTGCCATGTGATTGGCTTATTTAGCAATTTGTGTTACCAAACAATTGAACAGGTGTACCTAATAAAGTGGCCGGTGAGTGTATAGTCTCCATTGGAAATCCATGGGAGAGTGTGGACAGTGAGATAGATACCTCTTCCTGTACTATGCTGTAGCTCCCATGTCTATGGTAAATCTGTGAAGAGACATTCTGTAACACCACTTTACTGTATCAAAGCAGGGACTGGAAGCAGGTAGTTCTGTGCAAGTCTGAATATAGTCTTGCGGGTTATCTTTAAAGGGAATCCTCTGCATATTGTTTGTAACATGTATTTGTCAAGTTTCCTATAATCATAATTTCATAAATTTTCCTGAATGAACTGAACCCTGGGGTTTATTTCCTCTGTCCTGCAGGTAAAGAAGGCGTTTTTTGCACTGGTAGCCAATGGTGTGCGAGCTGCTCCATTATGGGAAACAAAGAATCAGAGTTTTGTAGGTAAGCTCACTTCATATGTCTTGTACAATTGTCCCTAGTGCCTGGACATTAGAAGAGGACCACTGACCATACATTTTATGTAGAACTGTTGGGACTCGTGAACATGGATGTATTTAGGGTCCTGCAGGGTAAATTCATGCTTTTTACCATGCCTGGGATAGACAGCTGGTGCTTACAGGGGTCGCCCATAGACATCAGTGGTGGCTGTACGCATGTATACGCTGGTACTCCTGTAAACCCGCATATGGACTTATTCCCCTGCATGTAATACAGGTTTATGCGAGTACCAGCATGTACCCATGTACAGCCTTTCATGTCTATGAGAGGCTGTAGACACCAACTGTGTGTTTCAGGCATTGAAAACAGCCCTACTGTACACTGTACGCTTGATTTTTTTTGTTACATTTATTTAGAAAAGTATGAACAAAAGTATGAACAACCCTTTAATTATATTCAGAATACAGTGGAGCTAGTTCGCAGAACTTAAAGTTAGCAGATTTATCTAATGAGCAGCTAATTTCACATGCCACTGCACATCTGCTCCGGAGTGTAAACTGCTGCCATGGAGACCAAGTTAAATACAGTTCTACTTGGATCTGGAATGTAAGTTTGGAGAGGTTCTTGGAAAAAGATTTTGATAAAAGACTGCTATATAAATAACCTGTGTGCAGAGACAGAAACCCTCCGCTGCACTCCTGCAGATCCACTGAGCCATGTTCTAGGTGGGAGCCAGCAAAGAACATCTTTTAACACGCAGTGTAATGAGGCTTCACTGACAGAACTGTGCAGTACATGTTTGACCTCTGCAGTGTGACATGTTGGTCCTACTACAGAAGAGTGATGTCAATAACTCCTTGGTGCTTTAAAATTAAATTACCCAAACACAGTAGGTCAAAGATGCCTGTGGAACTAAATTTGATACTCTAAAACCGCATTTCTCAACTTTTCAGTCACGGCGCTCTTTAAAATATTTGCAAAATCTTGAGGCACCCCAATTTAAAGTGTAAAAACCTAAATATAAAAACGTCTGGCCCCTCCTAAATCCATACTAGACTCTTATCCCAGATAAGGGTCTGGTATGGATTTTAGGAGGGGACCCCATGCAAAAACAAAAAAAACGGGGTTCCCCCTTTTTACGTCAGGAGCTGCAGTAGCATGAGAGCAGGCGGGAGGCAGAGCAGGCCTGGACAAAGACGAACTGTAAGTTTTCTGAATGGATCCCGCCCTACCTGGATTAGGGTCATTTTTTTCCATGATGCTGGTGGCCAACCTGCACCATGCAAAGGCATGACGCTGTGCGAAAATCTCCAGGTGCCCTTGAGGAAGCCAGAAGGGACCCCAGGGTGCTACTGCTCCCTGGTTGAGAAAGACTGCTCTAAAATATACATACTCTGTGCATATTCTAATAAAGTGTAGTCAGGGAGTCATGGTGCTGAATGCGTGTTTTAAAAAAAAAAAAATCTTTTGTATAGGTCTGTCCTTGTGTTTTTATATGTGCTGGCTCTTAAGCTGAATTATTAACTCTTGTTTATAAAAGTTACTTGGTACAAGGTCACAGGAGACAATGGTACTATGTAAATAGTATAATAATAGGGATCCTGGAGCAACCAGTCGGTTGCAGCATGATGGAACATCTTTCTTGACCAGTCATATAATTTCCCCTTTTTCATTGACGAAAGAAAAAGGATCCTCTTACTACAAGCACAGAAAATGTAAAATCATACAAATTGGATTGAAAAGTTATGGTGACATCTGGTGCTTGGCCAACAATTCAAGGCTGGACAAATTTCACCAACATGATCGGCGTATCTATAACCTTTTTTTTCCGGCTTGGCAATACAGTATCTTGTTTATAGGAAGTACTGAATACAGGGCGCACTTCATACATTTTAATTATTTTTCCAGGTATGTTAACAATTACAGACTTCATAAATATATTGCATCGATACTACAAGTCTCCAATGGTGAGTGAGTACCGTCATTCAGAGAGTAGTATTAAAGATGGAGCTTTTATAATAGTAACAGTATTAACTCATTCCTGTCTTTTTTTTTTTTTTTTTTACAGGTACAGATCTATGAGTTGGAGGAACACAAAATCGAAACTTGGAGAGGTGAGAATTTTTTTTTTCTATTTTAAAGGGTCAATTAACCCAGAAACCTGTGGCCATTAAAAGAAAGAAAAAAAAAAAAGGAACACCTTGATGTGCTTATCATCATGCCCATGGAAGGCAATGCAACAGGTTCTGGTAACTGCCAACCTCCACATCTGCACTTCCCTTCAGTCCCCAACTAATCCATTCATCCTCCAGGAGCAAAGAGAAATATACAGTACTTCTGGTGATGGGCAGCATGTGACCTTCCTCCAACCTATCAGTGCTGGTGTTTGGTGATTGGCCCAGCACTGTCTCATGGGTAGTGGGTAGAGAACTCTTAGCCATTCCATGATCTAAGTCATGATTCAGAGCCTACACAGGGTTTCCTTTCTCCCTGCGGCAGAACTAACTGGTGGGAGAACAAAAGAAAAGTGAGTAAGTGCAGCTGGGAAAGAGTTACAGTTAAGGGAGCCTTATATTGAAATGTTAGGTTTTAATTGACAGAGCCCGAATACAATTTAGTTTTGTGTGCGTCAAACACAGTGAAATACTTAGCACCTGTGTATTAAATTGGAACTCCATCTGAAACATTAACACTTTGGTGTTATATAGTGGGTTGCTATCTGTGCCCCATTGCAATGTCAGCTCCTCTTGGTGACCACTGTCGTAAGGAAGAGTAGTGAGAGGGAATTTTTCCAAAGCGGATGTCGTCTTTAAAGACTGGGTGGATGTTTCAAACCTTTCTAACACTGTCCATACCTAAAAGGGTTGTCTAAAATAATGTTTACTGGTATTAAAATGAATTATTAATGGTATTAAATAAAGTGTATGCTAACCTTAACCTCTTGCCGTCCGCCCGTAGTAAAAAAACGGACGGACGGCACTGCAGCATCTGCGGGTTGCCGTCTCCAGACGGCAATTTTTTTCTGCTCGCGCGCGCCCCCTAGCGGGCACGCACGGGCAGAAAAGACCCGCTAAATGCACACACCCGTTACCGGGTGTTTCACATATAGGCGATCGGCGGGTCCATAGCCCGCCGATCGCCTATATGTGCTCGTTCGCGGCACCCCCCCCCTATATAATAGCAATAACAATAAGTGCAAAAAAAAAAATATAAATAAAAAAAAAGAAAAGTAACACATAAAAAAATAAAATAAAAGCCACATATAAAAAAAGGGGAAAAAACCCCCCCAAAATGTTTAACTCCCCCACCCCCACGTTTACGCGCCTATAAACGTAAATACGCGTCCGGTGCCCCAGCGCGCAAAAATTACAATTGCGCTACACATGTTACATATCGCCGCGAACGTCGCAGTGAGAGCAATCATTTTAGGGCCATCAATCACTGATAACACTAAACTGATGAGCGGTAACAGCTTTTAAAGCGTCGCCTAGGGCCAATTTTGGGTATTATCGTTTTTTGAGGTTTCGCGCGCGCACGCAATTTTAAGGCTTGACATGTTTAGTGTCTTTTTACCCGACGTGACCCCATCTTTTATATTTTACCAAAAAATTGGGTAATAATAAATGTTTTATCATTTAATATAGGGGAAACTGTTTTTTTTTTTAAATTTCGGTAATTTTTCCTTAATATAGTAAAAAAATAAAACCCCCAGTGGTGAATAAATACCACCAAAAGAAAGCTCTATCTGTCCCCAAAAAAGGGTATAAAATTCATTTCAGTACAGCGCTGCATGACGGAATAAATGTCAGTCAAAGTACCGCAGCGCTGAATACTGAAAAATGGCCTGGATGGGAAGGGGGTTTAACACCGCGGATGTCAACTGGTTAATTATACAATTAGGGGGTACATTCTTTTGTCCTTCACAATGAACATATATGTAGCTTTTGTATAAATAAGGTGTAGAAGGCTTAGTAAATAACCGGTGATCCTGCTAGTTACCCTGTATAGGAAGTCCTTACTATTTGTCGTTGACTAGCCCTGTTCCTGCTTGATTGACAGCAGCTTCCAAGAGCCGCTGTACATTCAAAAGTATAATTTCTGCCCCCGCAGCATGGAGGTAAGGGTCAGTCAATGCAGCCATACTCCCACCCTTGGGAAGAGCAGCAGTGTGATCACGTGACTACTGAATAAAACTAAAAAAGGAACAGCCACTTCTTTAGAAGTATGTGATTTGTATTATTATAAAATTAGAAATAGTGTTTGACTATCTTAGTGTGATTTCCATTGTATGGCTTCACATATACTTTACTATGGATATTACCAGCACACACTAACAAGTCTGCTGTGTTTTTTTAGAATTGTATTTACAAGAAACCTTCAAGCCTTTGGTGAACATAACTCCAGATGCAAGGTAAGTAGAGGCTTAGAAGTAAAATTTGTAAGAGGTTCTCCATACAGCAGAAGAAGGAATTGACTTCTTAAATTGAAACTAAAAATATGTTTTTGGTTCAGCCATGCAGAAAATATAAAACCAGCTTAGCTGGTATGTTTGAGTCAAAAGTCATTTTCCCAAGCAATGTTGTGACAATACTAGACGACAAGTTCTGTATACCCATACATAAATTGTAGGTAATATGTTAACATTGTGCCTAATACTGTAGTCTTTGTTCACGTTAGTGCAGCTGTAGAGGTCATCCAAATGCAAAGAGTACAACTACATGTATTGATGAATTCGTGAATTTCATGTTCTAGCTTTACTTTTTTAAAGAAAATCCTGTCCAAGGCAGTTATGTACATTAACGATTTTAGAAAGCTTAGTAGCTAAGTGACGCTAAACTCAGGAATTAAATCTAAAAATAAATTCAAGTACCTTTTTAACTATTAACAAAAATGTATCTTATTTGTGTATCACTTAGCTGTAGATCCTCAAATCATCTCTGTCCTTCCTTCTGGAGGGTGGCTACTTTTGTTCCCCCATGGTGCCTGTGTGTGTTGTAAAGTAGCCACCGCTCCAAGCTCGCTCACGTGATGGGCTACAATCTCATGTTTAGTTTACTAATTCATATTGAGATTGTAGTCAATCACCGGAGTGAGCAAGGAGCGGCGGCCACTTTACAACACACGCAGGGACCATGGGGAACAAAATGGGGGAGGATATTTTAAGCGGATCTTGCTTTCACTGCTTTTCACGAATATTTTCAAGTGACACTAAACTTAGCACTTAAATCTTAAAAATACATCAAATAACAAAATGGGACCTTATTTGTGTATCACTCGGCTGTAGATCCTCAAATCATCTCTGAATTGATGCTGACACTGTCCTTCCTTCTGGAGGGTGACTACTTTTCTTCCTTATGATCCGTGTGTGTTGTGAAGTAGCCAACGCTCCAAGCTCCCCCCTGTGATGGACTTTAATGTCATGTTTAGCTTACTAAATTGAGATTGCACAAATTGTATTTGAGGATCCACAGCCGAGTGATGCACAAAAGAGCTACATTTATGTTAAAAGTGTAGATACTTGAATGCATTTTTTAGATTTAACTCCTGAGTTTAGTATACCTTTTAAAATAATGTTCATCTAGCCCTATTTCAGTGTCTGTAACCCTTGGGTTCATGTGGAATATTCAGTAGGAATAGATGTGTATTATATGGTTAATGTTTTATAAGTGGGATGGGTAAAGTATAGATCAGGGATAGTCAACCTCAGTACTCCCAACTGTGGTGAAACTACAAATTCCATCATGTGTCTGGGGGTCAGTCCTGTGGCTGTAAGTCTACCAATGCCTTATGGGAGTTGTAGTGTTTATGGCACCCGTATAGACTTCAACTGCCATTTGACTATCCAAGATTAACATGCTAATTGTCAGCGTTCATTTGATTTATTGTATGAGCTCTATGTAGGAATGATGCTGCATATTTCCTCTAGTTATTTTACATTGTCTGATATTGCTCTCTCTTCCTCACAGCCTGTATGATTCAGTGTATTCACTGATCAAAAATAAAATCCACAGATTGCCGGTAATTGATCCAGTCAGTGGAAATGCACTTTATATACTTACCCATAAGAGGATTCTCAAGTTTCTTCAGCTTTTTGTAAGTAAACGATAAATGTCTCAAATGTTTAAACTTTTGTATTTTCTTCCTGTCAGTTTATCAGAGATGAAACGGCTTCTGGAATTATGACTTTTAACGTCATCAGTCTACATTCATGGTTGCTTCTCAGTGGGAGATATGTCTGTTCCCTTCCTGGCATGCAACTGAGCATCCCAGGAATGAATCCACTTTCCCATAGACTCAAAAAAGCTTGTTTAGAGCAGAATTCTGGCTGAGTAGCTAAATGCACAGTTGAAATACATGCATGTGTACTGTTGTACCTACCAAATTACCTATAACTCTGTTAAAGTAACCGTAAAGACATTACATATTTAAAAATTATAGTAATCTGCTAACATCCCTTAGTTACAAATTTCTATCATTAACCTGTAAAATAGCATCCAAATACTTTATTTTTGCGTTTTTCATGTACAGTAATGTGAAAAAGACAGTACGCCCTCTTTGAATTCAATGGTTTTATGTATAAGCAGGTCTTAAAATTAGGTAAATACAACCTCAGATGAACAACAACACATGACATATTACACCGTGTCTTTATTGTAAAAAAATAAAAATGGAGAAGTTATGTGTGAAAAACAAAGTACACCCTTACTGCTTCCAAAACATAGGCCTTTGCCAAAGTTTTAGCAGTTTGCTGGTCTGGAGCATTCAGGTGTGTTTACACAATGCCAAGGAGGCAAGACATCAGCAATGATCTTAGAGAAGCAATTGTGGCTGCCCATCAATTTGGGAAGGGTTATAAGGTAATTTCCAAACAATTTAAAGTTCATCATTCTACAGCCAGGAAGATTATTCACAAATGGAAAACATTCAAGTTGCCTATCTTCACAGGAGTGGATATTCCAGCAAATGCACCCCAAGGTCAGACCGGGCAATGCTCAGTGAAATTGCAAAAAACCCAAGAGTTACATCGGACTCTACAGGCCTCAGCATGTTAAATGTTAAAGTTCATGACATTACAATTAGAAAAAGATTGAACGAGTGTGGTTTGTTTGGAAGGATTGCCAGGAGAAAGCCTCTTCTCTCTAAAAATAACATGGCAGCATGGCTTAGGTTTGCAAAGTTGCATCTGAACAAATCACAAGACTTCTGGAACAATGTCCGTTGGACGAGCGCAAAGTGGAGATGTTTGGCAATAATGCACAGCACCACGTTTGGTGAAAACTGAACACCGCATATCGGCACAAACACCTCATACCAACTGTCAAGCAGGGGTGGAGGGGGTGATGATATGGGCTTGTTATGCAGCCACAGAGCCTGGGCACCTTGCAGTCATTGAGTTAACCACTAACTCCTCTGTATACCAAAGTATTCTAGAGTCAAATGTGAGGCCATATGTCCGACAGCTAAAGCTTGGCCGAAACTGGGTCATGCACAGGACAATGATCCCAAGCACATCAGCAATCTACAACAGAATGGCTGAAGGAAAATTAATCAAGGTGTTGAAGTGGCACAGGCAAAGCCCAGACCTCAACCCAATTGAAATACCGTGGCGGAACCTTAAGAGAACTGTGTATAAACAAATGCCCTCAAACCTCGATGAACTAAAGCAACGTTGTGAAGCGGAGTGTGCCAAAATTCCTCCACAACCTAGTGAGACTGATAAAGTCATACAGAAAATGATTACTTTATGTTATTGCTGCTAAAGTTTGTTCACACATGGATTCACCAATTTGGCTTTGTTTGTAAAATAATGACACAGTGTAATATGTCGTGTGTTGTTGTTCATCGGAGGTTGTATTTACCTAAATTTAAGACCTGCTGTATACCAGATGGTTTTTATGTCCTGATACTTAAAACCATAGAGGGTGTACTTTCTTTTTCACACCACTGAAGGTCACTTTATCGCTCCAGGCTCCAAGGGGGCACAGACCGGGAAAAAAAAAAAGATTGTTGGCTTCCACAGATGTCCTGTATCCCAAGAGCTCTCTAGCTCCATGGCAACCAGGGAAGCAAGGTAATGCTGTAGGTGGAGTTATAGGGATAATTGAGATCTCTGTACACTGCCTACCTACAGCATCACTAGCCATTTATAGCTCAGGAGGGTGGCTGCCTTCACAGAGAGACTGCAAGGAATTGCTGCATGTGATGTGGGCAGCTGGGAAGAGCAAACCCCACAGCTTCATCTTCCCAGGATCAGGAGCATGTGCACTGCAGTGACAATGCTGCAGAGGCTCTATGAGCCTGCAGATAACTTCTCCACCGAGAAGAAGATATCTGAATGACTGACAGGATCAACAGGTCATTTCTATCAGAGGAAGCTTTTATAAAAGAAAAAGCTACAGAGGTCATGAAAAAAGCTGTGGCGAGTGTAGCTGTAGATCTGTCACTACTGTACTCATGTCACTTTTTTTTTTTCCAGCAGCCAATACGTTATTATTTGTACATAAGTGGTAACATATGGCACGTGCTTTGTGCTGTGAGCTTGAGTCATACAGTAAAAAATACTAAGAACTTACCCTTTTACTCGTTCCAAGAAAGCAATGAGTGGATGAATCATGTTGTTATTGAATAGGAGTATTCAAATGTGGTTCGTAATAACATTATTGTACCGTATTGTATCTTTATTGACAAAGCTACACTTGCTAGTAGAATGCAGACTGTGAAATTATAAAGGAATTCTGTGTATGGGCAGTGCCACATGAATGGAGCAGTAGAGTATGTGGGCTAGTGGTGTCATTCTCTATTTAAAAAATATATGAAATATTAAATTTTCCTCATGTTCAGTTTAAGGGTCCATTCACACCAGCTGCTGCACAAAAAGCCCAATAGCTAATGTGAGGTGCGCAGCATAGTGCTGATGTGCCAATCCCAACACATTGAACTGTTTTCTTTTTTTTCAAATAAGGTCTATGGGCACAGTGTGGTGTCAGGCGGTTGTACCGCATTGCATCCCACCGCATTGCATCCCACCGCATTGAATCCCACTGCGTGCGCTGAAAAAAAGTACTGCATGCAGTACTTTTTTTCAGTGCACACCTCCACAACTCGGTGAATTGTGGCCTCGTCTTGCATTGGAAAAAATGCCAGCACTTGCCCAACGCGGCTGGTGTGAATAGACCCTAAAACTGGACAGAAACTTTGGAGGGCTTTCAGATGTGAATGCAATATCCAACCACCCAGCGTGTGCTAGAGAGCAACAAACACTTGTCAACTCGGCTCAAATTAGTGAGTTTTGTAATAAGGGGGACTATAGAGGCTGCCAATGGTGGCACAAGGGGGAAACGATAGCCATGTAACAGGTTTTTTAACTAGCCCAATAGCTGGTCCAGGGTCACCCACAGACGTGGGATTATGGCCCAGTCACCATGAATAACAAGTGCAGCAGATGACTGTCATCATTTTTCTTTAGTTACCTGAAGAGTGTCAAACTGGTGGTAGATGTTTTTTCAGTGGTACAATTGACAGAACTCATTTCTTAAAGTAAACCTTTGAATGGTGAGTGCACATACCTTTTAGGAAAAATTGAAAATACCTCCTTATGCGAAACCCAGGCCTGTACTCAGATGCATCCCATAGAAACCAGTAGGCTCAGACCTAGTTAGTGGATGGGCTGACTACAGAGACAAAATCTGGCAGGTAAAGTACAGGACGTGTACTTACTGGGAGGGCCAGTATGGGGGAAGGGAGATATAGATCATTGATGGGTGAAATGATTGCAGAGGATACTGTACCATGGTTAGGGGTGTTTTCCTGATATACAGGGGACTTGCAGTTTTAGGATTTGGCTATACACTGGTTACCCACTTGTCTATTTTTATGAAGATATGTTCCCACTGTTATCACGAGTGCCGAGTATTAAATCATACAGCTGCATTTCTCCTATGTACAAAGTTTATATGCATTATGAAAGGTTCACCCCCTTTTCCATGTGGAAAAGGGAGCAAGTCAATACCCCAAAGGGTTTTTAGTTTTATGTGGAATAATAAAGGATTTTATATGCTTTGGATCCTGCCTGCAGAAGGGAGATTTCCACCAGTCAATGGTATAGCCGTCACGACTAGGAATAGTCGAGGACAATCGAGTCTGGAGAGCCAGGAAGTGCAGAACCTTGACTGTCATAACCCTGTTGTCATTGGGTGGGTTTCAAATACTGCCTTGCTCCACCTAATATAAAGACAAGACTTCATAATAGCTTTGTAATAGCTAGTGAGATTTAATACCGGCACCTCCTAATACTTGTATTTCTATTTATATCTAATAGTATATCAGTACGTCAGTATTTCATTGTAGCATGTCTCACTGACTGACCCACTCCGTTTTAGGTTGGAATGGTTGAGTATCTCTACTCGGGGCCAATGGCCCAACCTATCTTATTAGCAAATTCCCCCCAGGCCAGTCCTCCCCTGTTGTGCCACCTTTTCTGTTTTTACATCTATGTGGATTAATGTTGAACAAATGTATGCTACTTGTGCCCTGTTCATGCTAGCACTCAGCAGTTGATGGGGCTCTGTATTGATGACCCTATATATTTTATTTTTCTTCTGAGATTCTCAGCAAGTGCTGTGGTTTTATTTTGCAGATAATATACGTGTAGAATTTGCAGATGAGTAAGATAGCAGCATGCATGGTGTTTTTTCAGGAGGTGACGTGTCGGGGAGTCATTGCTGTTATCTCATCACATATTTGGTTCCAACAGTATGAGCTGGCTGGTTTTATCTCATAAAATTGCAGTGGAAATCAGTGACTGAATCATCTTTCCAGCCTTTATCTTTTAATTCAGGGTGCTGTCCTTTAATCTTTCAGTATTGAGTACTGTGTGTTTATAATATAAAACAAACAATTTTTTTTGTATAGTTATGGGGTATCTATTGTAGTCCTTTTAAGATATATGTAACAGTCTCTCTTAATGTCCTTTTAGTTATCGTACATCTCACTTCTTTATAGCGGCAATGGGTGGGCCAACTCAATATTGAACCCTACGGACTAAAACTGGGATGCCATTAAAGTTCATGTGCACGCAAAGGCAGGCGTCCCAATACTTTTGGCAATATAGTGTATGTCAAACTAGCAAAAAGGTAGTGGTGCAAATGGGCAGAACAATAGAAAAAACACATTGTTATGCTGTTTTTCTGAATAAACCTATATGAGTGCACAGCATTTAATGTACCTATTTTATCCTTTCACCTGTGAGTATATGAAACTCTATCCAGACTGACAGACCAGGATTAAACCCGCACAAAAAATGTTCATGTCAGAATTATGTAAAACCACATAGAGGTCAGACATTGCGCAAGATAAATCTTAAAACTGAACTGTAAACATTGGAGTAATACACCTTGTGCAAATATTACATATGACTTTATTAATGCGGTTTCTGCCAGCATATTCCGTCTGTTGTCTGCAGAGCTGGAAGTGACAGAAAATAGAAGTTGCTGGCTGACTTAGTACAGAACTATGCAAGGGGGAAATTAACTTGCTCTGCTCTGACTACAAACAGGGCAGACAGCTTCTCTGCTTTTCTAGTACAGGTTCTTGTCCCTCCTAGCTATTAAAGCGGATGTGGCCACCAATGAAAGCAATCTGTCCTGAGAGAGATGTGGGGTTTGCCATTGTTGACCTCTTTTTGAAAATGCTAGTTTTTTGGCTGCTTATGGCTGAAATATTATGAGACGCTGACCCAGAACTAGCAAGCAAGTCAGCAAGAGTGAGGTCGGAACGTAATTTGCATATTTGTCCTACGTCCATGACATTGTACTGAAGCCATTGGATCAACATAATGCAAGGGAACAAGTGTTTTAGCTTTATGATGATGTTAAGCAGAGCCCCACTTTAAGCAAATAGAGACAACATATTAAAAGCAAACTTCTCCCCTAGCAACTCCCTTATCCCCACTTCACTCCACCTTTATAACCCCCTTTTAAAAATTGTATTTATGTCCTTTTTCACTTTTTTTTTCTTATTCTCTTTGGTCCCCTCTCTTCGCCTTTTCTTTTTACGGATTTTCCCATTTATACCTCCTTTTTCCTGAGAATTCATATGTTCTAAAAGTGTAAAAACTATTTTTTTTCTTCACTAGCAGAGGAAGTATTTCCCCTCCGCCCCCTACCTCATTGTAACAACAATTCTGCACCCTATCTTGATGGGAATCTTCTCCCATCTATGTACTGTCAGGATTTGGTATTTGGTGCTGTATGATGACTATTTTTCTGTACTTTACTCTGTTGGTGGATACTTAAAGAATTCGAAAAAAAAATTATAACTTTATCGAATTATTGAAAAAAAAAATTGATTAAAGCTAAATGTGTCTCCTCCTGTGAGCAGTATTATTGTCAATCAAGCGCACACTTCCAGGTACCCTAACCTTAGCTCTGACCTTGGAGCTTTGGCATTCTACCTTGCTTTGGATTATGGGGTGGAGTGGAACATGTCAGAGTGCTGAATCAGAGCTAAAGTTGTGGTTTAGTTTAAATGAACAAAAGGATAGCAGCTCTGTAATGAATAGTGTGATCTTGATTCATACAGGCATGCAGTTGATCCATTGCAATTTTTTCTTTTGACGTTAATGTCCTGAGATTATTTGTATTTCTAATTCCCACCACTTAAAGTGAGCCTGTGCTTTGCTCTTTCAAGGCAAAGGAACAGGTTCACTTTAATAGCATTCCATTCTGCAGCACATACTCTCACTTCCTTGCCTTTGCTTGGCATTTAGCACTGTCACATAGGGGTGAGGAGAGAGTCCTCAGCCATATGTAAGCTTGGTTTGTTACTTGGAGCTTACACAGGATTTCCTCTCTTTGCTCCTGGTAAGTATAAGTTGCTGTTGGGCAGTCATTAAAATGAACCTGTTGCTTTGCCCTCCATGGGAAAATCACCCATTCACTTTAAGTTGCTTACAGGCATCAGATGGCAGTACAGGCAGGCATGATCTAATCGCTGAAAGATCTTTCTATCAAAATGTATGTTTGGTTTGGCAGGATGTGTATGTTTAGCCTGTGGAGACAGCAGCGAGTGCAATGTTTAGAAACCTCTGGTACCAACTGATCTCATGGAAAGCAATAACAACTGGTCAGGAAAATTCCAACTAGGGGTGATTGATCCTTACCCAGAGAGTGGGGTCAGACATGAAAGCACTGCAGAGTTCCATACAAATATACATGTTGCTTGATTAACCATAACCAGCAGCTGCATCAGGTAAAGTTCATATATAGGCACATTTCACTCTTCAGTAATTATACAAAAATCACAGTCATCATTGTGTGATGAGACTTCCGCCATATTGTCTTTTTGCAATCAAATAGTGTTCAGATATTCTCTGTCTCATGTATGATTAGACTTATGGGAACGTTGCCGAGCAGCTTGTGCTATCATGTTACTCAGGCATAATGAGTCTTAGGCCTTTGCCATAGTTGCTACTCTCATATAACCCATTATACCTGAATGACACATTTCTCAGATTTTCTTTACCATACTGCCACCCCATGGTGAAGAACTGGCTTACAGCGGTCACGTAGAAAAATAAAGATTGCACTTCATGCTCTCAGCTTTGTGTAATCATACAATGTAAATGTGTCTTTACTGTTTAATAAACTAATAATGACAGAATTTGCAGTTACATCTTATATTTCTATCTTACATGATAGGGTGCTTTCTGTTCAGAAACTGTGTGTGTAATATTTATGTGCTACTGAAAATTAACATTTCCTAACAAAAACAAATGTGTGTTTTTTGTTTCAAAATAAATCTTCCTATCTGCTAGGACATATACAGTGTTTGTACAGGGCAGTGACTAGTTGCTTAACGCATGCCAGTGAGGTGGTTTAGTAGTGGTTTGCTGGCTTCCCTTCTGGGTATCAGGTTCCTGAACTAAAGCCTGAATTCCCCTTTTTAAGGAAAATGCAAACTGCGCTAGTTGTAGTTGCCCTTACTGACACCTGTGCCTTCCTATTGGTCAGCCAGCAGTGCGTGGCCTTACTGGCCCAACAGAAGACACAGGCAGTGGAAAAGGTGAAGCTAAGCAGAGATCATGTAAGCTCTGGTAGCAGTTTTCCTTTGAGCACCCCAGGATCTCAGACTGCTTGGGTGCTTTGTGATGAAGATGGGGAAACATGCATGTGCCAGGAGGTGTTTGTTATCCAGATGTGGAGCCACCTAACCCTGCAGATACGTCGGTCATTTTGCTTTGGAAGACTGCAGAAGAAAAATTACAACTCCAATCTCTATGCAAAGCTTTGTGATATAACGTCACTTATATTTCTACTCGTATGGATGTTTAAAGAACTGGCCGATCCTGGGCCTTCCATGATATCATATAAAAGACCTTTGACACTGGCCAGCACAAGTGCAAGTGAGAAGTCCTTTGTATACTTCTACACTTCTGTGTACACATGTATGCCAAAAAGAAAACTTTTCCAGGTTACACATCAAAGATATACTGTGACCTGGAGAAGATTGAATGTATTGGGGGTTGGTTTACCAAAGAAGTAGAACATGTTCACTTTCCAAAGTGAATTTTCACTTCACTTTGTGAATGAGGTAAAGCCGTGTGAAAATGCACTTTGAATAGCATACCCTATCACATGCACAGAAAAAAGAAACCAGCAGGATATTTGCTTGAACATTATTGGATGATTGAAGTCAGCATAGCTTCACCTCATCTACAAAGCTAAATGAAAATTAATTTTGCAAACCCCATAAACCTTGTTTTATAATGTAAGACCACATGTAATCCATAACAGGAAGAGATTAAAAAAAAAAATCTCTTTCTCATTTCAGGTGTCCGAAATGCCAAAGCCTGCCTTCATGAAGCAAAACTTAGAGGAGCTTGGGATAGGAACATACCACAACATTGCCTTCATTCACCCCCATACACCCATCATCAAAGCTTTGAATATATTTGTAGAACGACGAGTTTCTGCTTTACCGGTTGTGGACGAATCGGGTAAGACCATAAAAATTTACTTTTCAGCTTCTCATAGACATCAAATTGTGATAAAGCATGCAGCCACAATCACATTGCTGAAAGATCTCTCTGAGGTAAAAATCCTCCCATAACCATACACACTTGGATCTGATGTTTTTGGCTTGCTCATGCCTATGGAGTGGAGAGGGAAAAAAACATTCTCAGTTCCGTATTAAAGTGTAACTAAACACAAACTTGTATTTTCTGTACTTGCTGAAAATGTTCTTAGCCTGAAAAAGAAAGAAAATGAATGCAGCCACCACATTTAAGGACTAGTAAGCTGCAATATATAACATTTTTGGTGTTCAGATACTGCATGGGGATATCTGGAGTTCTTAACCATAGATGATGAATGTCCTCGTGCAACATTTTAGCCCCATACACACCTTTAATTTGGAATCTTAGCTTGTAAATCTAATCTTTAAGTGAAGCAACAGGTTCACTTCCCAGCCGCACATACTTTCCTTTCATTCTCTCACCACTCTGTTGGCTTCTTAGGAGTGAAGTGATGATGATGTAATTTTTAAAAGCATTATTTTTCAATATGTGATAATTTCTTTATCTGTCCGTAGGACAGCGAAATAAATTACCCAAATCTAATTGACTGCTTGTGTGTAAAATTATGTAATTGTCGATGCATAATCGGATCTGATCAGATATTTTTCTATTTAAAGCTGACTGTAGATCAAAGGATAGATGTACCTTTCAAGCAAATGTCCAGCAAGTCACTCCTGTCCCTCTCAATTCCCCAACCATTGTGTAACAACAGAATAGATCATTTCATATAGGGATGTCCCGATGCCACTTTTTCAGGCCCAAGTATATGTACATCCCCTCATGTACTTGCCGATACCAATTACCGATACTTTTTCTTAAAGGGACAGGTGACTTTAAATGATCCATAGTACAACTACATGTTATGCACTATGGATCATGATTTAACCTATTCATGTTAGCAGTGGAGAATTGTAACTATTGCTGGAGTGTAGTGGAGGTGTGTGCTGTATATATGCACTACATATACATTACACACGTCCAGTACACTATAGCAATGGATTTACGGCCAGCCCCATCCCAGCTTCCCTTACTCACAGTTTCACTCCGATCCCCGTAGCCTCACACGATGCCTCTTGTAGTCGGTGCTGGGCAGGATCGCTGCATCGCATCTCGGTGCTCAGCTTGTGGGAGGCGTTCACAATTCTGCCCTGCTAACATGAATAGGTTAAATCATGATCCATAGTACATAACATGTTGTTGTACTATGGATCATTTAACCCATTCATGTTAGCAGGGGATTATTGTAAATCTAATGCTGCAATGTACGGGACATTTGTGCTGTATATGTAAAGTACATATAGATATACAATTCTCCACTGCTAACATGAATGGGTTAAATGATCCGTAGCCTTTCTTCCCTGAAAACTGATAAGAACAGATACTACACTTGATCTTAGCCAAAAGGCCGAGAAGCGAATACAGTGCAGACAATACATAATAACATGAATGGATTAAATGATCTGTATGTAGCCCTGTACTATGGATCATTTAACCCATTCATGTTAGCAGATGATAATTGTAAATGTATTGTTGCAGGCACTCTATATGTACATGTACTATATACTACATATAGAATGCACTGAACAATAGATTTACAATTATCCTCTGCTAATATGAATGGGTTAAATGATCCGTAGTACATGATATGTAGCCCTGTACTATGGATCATTTAACCCATTCATGTTAGCAGTGGAGAATTGTATATCTATATGTACAAAACACAAGAAGAAAAAAGAAAAAACATAGCGCAAGCTTCGGCGCTAGGCTTCGGGGCATTTTGACAAGTACAAGTACTTGTCAAAATGCCCTGTATCGGTCCCGATTTCAATGCCAGCATCAGTATCGGGACATCCCTAATTTCATAGATTTTATTTGATTTTGGTGACGCATACTTTTTACTGGGCACTGGGCCCAGTAGAGTCATTCCTAACCCAGTGCAGCCAAACAGGAACCATGGATAAAGATGCCAGTCTGCTCTTGCATGGAGTGGAACACAAGGATGGACATTATTCTGTATGGTCATTCCCTGATGTGTTGATAAGGCAGCACTCGGACAGAAAGGCTGCACCGGCACCTGGCAGGCCATGCCCAAAAAATAAGTTTTAGAGTAATCTGACTTATATGATATAATATACCCATTATTGATGCACTGGCCCAGGGTTGGACTGGCTGCATTTTTGTTTGAAAATGTACTAATATTGCATTTTCTTCACTCTGATTTTGCATTCTCATTTTGATCTGCAAACTATACAGTGCAATGGCCAGCCTGATTCAATTGAAATGTTACATTAATGCAGGTTAACAAGAAAAACAGTTCTCCTAACCTACACCACTGGAGATATGGTTACTCTTGGTTAAGATATGTATCCTATTAGCCAGGGGCAAACTAGATTTGTCCCGGTCAGTTACTTACTGGAATGTACACTACAGTTACTGAATCCCACATTGTAACCTCTGCCTTAGGTTTATCATTGTGTTTTTCTACTACACTGTTATGTCTTTTGCACCTAGTGCTGTACTGAATATGTTGACCTTCCTGCCACAGGCAGTTTTGCATACTGTAACATGCTTGGGTTTGTTTTCTCTGTTAAAACTCAATAAACCTCTATTTGAAAAAGAAATGTTACATTAATGCAATACCTTTCTGTCACAGATACTCAGTTCAAAAAGCTATGTCAGGGTGGCTTCTGTGGGGGAAGGTACAGAGAAAATTGTAAATGAATATGTAAATATTCTGTTCTATCTTTCTCATTTTAGGGAAAGTTGTAGATATCTATTCCAAGTTTGATGTTATTGTAAGTATTATTTTACATTTATTCTATTGTTCTACTGTAATAAATCACTGGGGCTTAGAAGTTGTTCATAGAGTTTGGTGGTGGTGATGTCTGTATACAGGTGAAACTCGAATAATTAGAATATCGTGCAAAGTTCATTTATTTCACTAATGCAACTTAAAAGGTGAAACTAATATATGAGATAGACTCATTACATGCAAAGCAAGATAATTCAAGCTGTGATTTGTCATAATTGTGATTAATTATGGCTTACAGCTCATGAAAACCCCAAGAACCCCAAATCCACAACCTCAAAAAAGTAGATTATTACATGCAATCAATAAAACAAGGATTGCACATAGAACAATATCGGACCTCTGAAAAGTACAAGCATGCATATGTACTCAGTACTTGGTTTGGGCCCCTTTTGCAGCACTTACTGCAATTACTTTTGCATGATATTCTAATTATTCGAGTTTCACCTGTATGTTGTTCTTTGCAATAGTGCAGGGAGCATTAAACAAACCTTCACAACTCCATTTACTCCATAATATGACCATCAAGAAGAAGGATCTAACACATAGGGTAATATGGTGGGCATCTTCTGTTTTAGATGATGGAATTCAGCACCAGAGAACTAACCCTAAATGATACACTTAACAACCTGGTACAACAGTCTGCTTTCAGACCATTGAGAGGGGCATTGAATTGTTTCAGTGGAATACATGCTTAGACCGTGTTTTGTCTACACGGAAGGATGGTAAAGCTTACAAGTAGTCATTTTCTGCCTAACAATTTTCTATCCAGACTTTATGCAAGACACAATGGGTTTTTGTGTTCTTCAAACAAACCACCTTCCAAGAAGCCTCAAAAACCAGGCCACTGTGTATTATGTAAAGATCGCCTTCCTCACACATCTTGCTATTGGCCACTACGTGTGATAATGACCTGGCTGACCAATAGCAACATGTGGAAAGAGGTGAGCCATATTAGAATTAGGGGAAAGTTATTTTTAGATCTTGCTAAGGGCTCATACACACCAGCCTGTACGCTAAAATTGAAGCAGTCTGGTGTCCGTTGTGTAGAAGTTGTGTTCTCAAGGCATTGTTTACTTTTTTTAACCTTATTGAAATGTCACAAAATGACATTTCATTCACTTCTTTGTACTGCAGCTTAGCCAAAGTGTGGTAACAAGGAGAGGTGTGGTGGGTGGCGAAAAATTACAGCATGTCTACATTTCTATAGAAAACATATGGGCCTGTGTTGATCTATGCAGACATCAGACCACTGATGTGGTGTAAATGAGCCCTGAAGGTTTGTTTATAGAGCTGTCCCATTTCTGGAATACAATGTGAAGTGTAAATAAATGAGGTATACTGAACATGTCTTGATGCAGCAGAGAATTAGGAAATACTGTCCTGTATCTCTATTAACTTGTCTCTGTTCCATCATAAAAACCATAAGGTCCCCTAAATTCATTTATTTGAGCCTTGTGTAGAAAGCTGTGTCCAGAGCCAAACATGATGACGTACACATGTATACTTTTGGCCTAAGATCTCTTTTATTACATGTAATGCACATCGTGTTCAATAAGCAGTATAGTCGTACATTAATATGCAGCGCCAGAAAAGGCCAGTCTATTTAAAGTTACATGCTACCCTGCCAAAAAAGTGAGATTTCTTAACGAGCTACATTGTTTTAATTAACACAAGTCTTCCAATCACCACCTACGGTAGGTGTCAGTCGTTCACACTCCTGGAGGGTGACAGAAGAGAATCATTTGCATCTGAGTTACTGAATACACAGAGTATATATACTGTGTGTATGCCTGTGATATAGAGTGCTGTCCCTACATACCTCCAAACATCTCAAATAAAAGGAATAATAGATTATTAATGTGTAATTCCTGTGAAAATGTTGAGTGGCTCTGTCAGGGAGGTTCCCCCTATTCTACAAAGTAGATACAGGCTGTACCCTGTTTTATAACAAAGTACACCTATGTCTTGTGTCAACAATCCATCTTCTTTATTGATGCAGACTGTCACAAAACAATGTCATACTAAAACCTAATGAATGGGACCCTACGTGGCCCCGAAACGTTGTTTTGTGACAGTCTGCATCAATAAAGATGTATTATTGACACAAGACATAGGTGTGCTGGTGACATTTATCATATATTTGGCTGCTAGACCAGTCCCCGCAGCCTCTCTTCCCCCCCTATGTCCCTCAGCATCTTCACATCCAATACACTGTATTAGACGTGATGACTCTCACAGATCTTTAGACTGCTGAAACAGAGGGGGAGAGAGAATGCAGGGACCGGTCTAGCAGCCAAACTGGTCTGACGTTTGGGTGGGTATTTTCTTTATTTTACACCCTAGACCAAAACACGCAAGTTAACCCTTGTGGTGCAGGGGTAGCCCCACTGCAAGAATTAATTTTGTTTCAGCCTGGAGTTGTTCATTAATTCTGCAAGGGACCAGGAAGATACTTGGCTTTGCCCGAACCTCCTGGTCCTGGGGGAGGGTACTGAGGGCAGAGGAGTCATAGGCTCCTTCTGCTGTCAGTTATACTCATTGAGATTCCTCATTGAGCCCCCCTGTATGCAGGCTGCATACAAGTGATCTCTGCGACATCGCCATGATCACTTGTACAAAACAAGCGGCGGCTTCCCCCCTGTACATTTAGCCCTGCTTGCCAAAAGCAGGGCTAAATGTAAAAAACAACTACCCACTCAGCGCCTAAAACTGCATGTCCTGGGTATCGGGAGATAGGAACTCCACACCCCTGCTGCCCCTCTACTCCCTGCTGCCCCAAGGCCGGGCCTCGGTTGGCCTTGTGGGAAATTCAGCCCTGCACGGGTGCCTCTCAGCAGTCGGCTAGCGGTTTGGGGATAACTAGAAGACTAGGCAATAAAAAGGGAATTAAAGTACTTCTAGCATTCTTAATTATAACAAGGGGAAAAAAAAAGTTTAAGGTTAAAGATCCCTTGACAGAGGTCCAGTATAAATTTATATCTCTATCTGCTCATTTTTTAATTTGCACCAGTCCATTATCTCTTCCTAGATACTCTTCTTTGTAGACACCAGCAGTTCTAATGTATTTCACTCTGAACGAATGACATGGTCTGTCGCTAGTGCAGTTCAATTTAAAGGCTTAGTTCACCTTTCTGACCATGTTTCATATTACACCCATTGTCAGATCACATCCACCCCACTTACCTGAATGCGGGGGTTCTTCTCCCTGCAGGCTGCTGCTGTTTTGAATTCAGCATATCTCTGCCCATACAGCCAAGTCATCCACTCACAAATCCTTTGAGAGGATCTGTAAATGAAGAAACTACATGTTCCATCAGCCACTGTTTGTTTCAATGGAATACGAGTATGGTGACATCACAGCACTTGTAGTCCATTGACACTTCCTCCATCCATGTTACTTCATGTCCGTACTTCGATATGGACATGGAAGGAAGAAACGGTCTGCAGGAGCTAGAGCATTGAAGAGCATTTTTCTTTATTGAACAAGTGTGCATTTATTTATGTATTGCATGTGACATTTCCCTTTTAATCCTTCCTGTTTGCTATTTTTTTTTAAATAATGCTTTTTCTGTGGTGAAATAAGCCTGAACCTCCCTTGGCATGAGCCGTACATTGGGCTGTTAGACAATTTGGGCAGAAGGTAGTGGCAAGTGATTGAGGGCAGGCAAATCGCTCATCACCTTCTGTTCTCGGTGATCTGCATCCACCTCCAGTCTGATCACTGAACATCCATCTATGCTCCACAATCCCTATACTTGATAGCGACCTGTCATATTTGGCTGGATGAGCTGTATTTCCACATGGATAGTCAGCTCTTCCCTGGATTGGCTGTTTACTGTTTTGGGCTCTTTCCCTCGATTGTTGTCTCCTTGTAATGAACCGTACGTTTGATTGACAGATGCATAATTCATTTTCAGAACCTTGCTGCTGAAAAAACTTATAATAATTTAGACATCACGGTGACACAGGCACTTGAACATCGCTCGCAGTATTTTGAAGGCGTAGTAAAATGCAGTAAACTGGAAACACTGGAGACTATTGTGGATCGAATAGTGAAAGCAGAGGTAAGAGGCTGCCAAGGAGCTCTCATATGAGTCACCTTTGCTATTTGTAATCCTTTTGAGTATGTTGGAATACATGCTGGATTTTGTTCATGTTGATTTAAATGGAAGTGCATGATGGCATTTGTTTAGTCGGTTGCCATTCTCCATTGCTGTATAATCAATTATTATACAGTAGTAGAGAATGGCAATAGACTATAGAGTACTACAAATCTCAGCAATCCATGATTATTAAGCAATTTTATAATTTAACAAAGTTATTGTTTTTTTTTATGCAGGCCTGCACCCCACAGAGTCAAGCCCTCCCACACTTCTGTATTGGTCAGTTCGGCCATCTGTTACAATAAAGGGCCATTAGAGGAGGCTCAGGAGGTGGGAGGATTGCAGAGCAAAAATATAGTTTTACAGAAAAAGTCAAATCTTGCACTACTTCTACTGCTTATTTAACAAAAGAATAATACAAGGGGCACCCATGGCTCAGGATTCATATAGAGAGAGCTCAGCAGAAGCCATTTACTGTCTCCCACTGAAACTCAGTAGGGCCCTCTTTGAGGGCCCTCTACTTGAGGTCTGCTGAGTATCAACGCCAGCAGGTGTACTTGGGGGGGGGGGACAATGTGCTTAAAAATGTTTCCAATAGACACCATTTTTGAGTTGCTATCCATGTAACCACATGTTCCTTGGATCTTATAATCAGCTAAAAGACTACTGAGCTCTCCTTGTTTTGAGGTTATATGGGGCTTTGTAATAAATGTTTGAAATTAATTGTGCCAGTGTTGCTCATAACTAGAGATGAGGCTGGGCATGGTGTAAACCTAGTTTCCCTAAATTCACCCACCCCCTACTCCAGACCTAATCCGTTGCAGTAGGGGCCATTCCCCACCCCTTTGTAATGTATAGTTGTGGGGAATGTGCATCCCCACAACTGATAGGGTCAGGAGGAGGGGTTGGCAGTCAGAGTTTTGAGCAGGCTTGAATAAACTTAGGTGAACTGGGTTTACACCAAGCCCAGCCTCCTCGTTACTCATAACATCACATGAGATTCTTATTTAATGGTACAGCTTTCCCCCCCCCCCAAAGATGGTGTTATTTTTTTCTCGGTTGTCTAGCTGATTTGTACCTTCACTCTAATTCGTATTCATGTGTATCTTGTGTTGCTTGCAGGTACATAGGTTGGTAGTTGTGGATGAAGCAGATAGTATTGTTGGAATTATCTCTCTGTCAGATATTCTACAAGCACTGGTGTTGTCTCCTGCAGGTAAATATGGAAATCATTCCTCACAATTATAAGATCAGAGAAAATGTTTGCTTTTGCCTCCAGAAAAGAGCAATCGTTTATTTGTACGTGAATAATGAAGTATCGCTTTGGTATAAATATTCATGTTTGCTGTACTAGTAGAATATATATTGTAGCTCTTATTGGTGAATAAAGAGCAGATGTTCTGGAATATACAGTATATAGAGTGTATTTACAGTAATCATGAGTTGGTGTCCACTTTACCTGAGACTCCCATTTTATTTGTTTGCTATTCCATATTTTGGTTTTAGTATTTCATGTATAGATTTTAAAATGGTTCCCTGCCGCATTAAAAATTGAGAACAACAAGAAAAAAACACAGCACTCTCTTAGGAATGTGGGGCATGTGTGAATGCGGTCAGTATGGAGTGCTGCTCTGAGAACAGGAGGAGAAACCTGTGAACGTGGTAATAGAGCAATAAAGGCCGTGACACACTGCAGGCGAAGCAGCGCGGAGCGGTGGCGCGCTGCCTTTGCGAGCAGTGTGTCATGAAATTATCTTCTGGGCACCTCAGCTGGCGAGAGCTCGCAGAGCTGAGCGTGCCGAGATGAACAATTTCAACTTCAGCCAATCGGCTCGCGCGCATAAACCGGCGCGACGGGATGCGACGTCTGGCCGGTTTATGGGTTCTTCTTTTTTTTTCTTCATTTTATTGAACATTAGCAAACATTCTATTCAACTCTGTGCAGTGCTTTGCTGTGTGTTGCATTAAATTACAGACATGCTGCATTTTCATTCAGCGCACCACAATACGTCTATATGGTGTGAACAGGGCACATAGAAAACATTTGTCTCACTTTAAACTGAACCCGCATTTTGCAGTTTCTCCTCCACATCCTCATACCATTTGTTGCCCATGCAAATGCGGCACCCCAGGCATTTTCTAATGGAAGGCTACTCATACCTAGGTAGAGTACAGATAGCAGCTGCAGGGTAAGTAAAACTGCTTCACTGGATGGAAGGGCCTGGAGTATAAAGCTAAGGAGACCTGCATTGAGAGAACCATGCCAAGACTGCCATTGTTGACTTTTCATTATGAAAGTGCTTTTTACCTGTCTTTCATGCTGTCCCACATGTGAGCCACTAACCAAAAACTTAAAGATTAAGAGAACTTACTTTTCTCTAACTTTCCTGATCCACATACTTGTGCCATGTCAGTGACTTAAAAAGTATTAAAGTCAAAGGGTCAGCTTAACAGCCATGCAACTAGCATTTTCCTAGGGGAGTCAGCAGAAGCTGTCTCTATGTCCCTTGTGATAAGTTTACTTGTAGTTTTGAACCAAGTGATTTGCAAAGAGGATATAAAGAGGGGGCTTATTTGGTGAAGGACACAACATACCGCCAGTGCCTGCCTGCAGTCATCTCTACCCATTATACATTTCTTGTGTCAGACAGATCATTTATGTATTCCTTTTGTGAGGTGGATCATTTATAGAAAAGTTTTTAGTGTTGCTGCACATACTGATGATTTGAAATGATGAATGACTTTAAAGCATTTTGTACCCAACTCTCCATCAGCTGTTAGGGTTGCATGGGCAGCAAACTCTATAAATGCAGACAGCACTAAATATTTCAAAAATACAATAAAACCTCCATCGCCAGAAGGCCCGAGTTCAATTTTGTCTCGCCTACCCTCTTTCATATGTTTATTATTTCTACACAGGTGTGCCATTTTGGCACCCCTGTGTCCCCTTCATTTAAAATTGAATTCTGTAACATGTAGTGAGATTTTGTTTTAGTAATTGTATTTTGTGTTGCAGGTGCCAAAAGAAAGGAGAGTGAAGCCGACTGAATCCACCTGAATTTTACAGTTGTGAATTTTTTCTCCAGAAGAACTTGAATGATGTTTTCATGTCAAAGCTTTGCCTCAGAAACATTGACTGCAATAGCTGGGCCGAAGATTGCTTTGGAGAATGTGTGAAATGATGGAAGGGAAGGGCATGTTGGGTTTTTTTTTGTTGCTTTTTCTTTTAGCTCCTTTCTCAGTGTCATCTTGGGCAGGAAGAATAACACGGTGAAAAAAGCAGACTGTTAAATGGTTCATTTTTTTTTTTTTTTTTTTTTTTTTGCTTTTAAAAATTGAAG